ACGTGAAGGTTGGACTTTCCAAGAATGGGCAAGGGAATCAACCAGTGACTAAAAGCTCCAGGCAAGGAAAGAAACCTTGTGGTCAGAGGCCCCAGTGGAATAATGGAAACTCACTACTGGTCTCACCATTAGTCAAGAATGCCAGGTCTTTACAGCGGGTCTTCATTCACCCAGCCTTTTAAACTGTAACACAAGCTTACATTAATTGTCCTAAACCTTTGCTGCTTTTTTTCCCCAAGATTTTATTTATTTATTTGAGAGAGGAGGAGAGATAGAGAGAGCATGAGCAGGGGTAACAGTAGCAGGGGGCTCCTTGCTCAGCAGGGAGAGGGAGAAGCAGACTCCCTGCTGAGCAAGCAGTCGGATGCAGGGACTCCATCCCAGGACCTTGGGATCATGACCAGAGCAGAAGGCAGACGCTTAACTGACTGAGCCACCCAGGCGTCCCTAAACCTTTGCTGCTTTAATCTCAAAATCATTTCCTGAGTTCTTATGTCCTGAGCTATTTTTCCCTTACCCCTTTTTCTGATTAGGTTGGGGGGGGGATGAAACCCAAACAAGGAATCCTAATTCAACAATGATTTGATACTTCATGCAAAAACAAAAAAGTCTGGGGTACCAGTGGGTAAAAACAGCCTTGGCACCGAGCTCTGCACCCCTCCCTATTTCAATTGGAAATTCCTTAAAGCCAGCAAACCATTTCTTCCTGAGCTTTCACAACTTCTAAGATATGACCACACACCATGCAAATTAATAATGTCAACAATATCCGTCCATCACGGTGGCTACATCAGTCTTGCAAACTTTGAAAGCTATGGTTAGTTGAAAGGCAGATCGTGACACACTCCACAACCAAGTCGAGAGGGCATGAGCAGATAGAGGACTTACATCGACAGATGAATGGATAAAGAAGATGTGGTATATATACACAATGGAATATTATGCAGCCATCAAAAGGAATGAGATCTTGCCATTTGCAACGACATGGATGGAACTGGAGGGGGTTATGCTGAGTGAAATAAGTCAGTCAGAGAAAGACATGTATCATATGACCTCACTGATATGAGGAATTCTTAATCTCAGGAAACAAACTGAGGGTTGCTGGAGTGGTGGGGGGTGGGAGGGATTGGGTGGCTGGGTGATAGACATCGGGCAGGGTATGTGCTATGGTGAGCACTGTGAATTGTACAAGACTGAGGAATCACGGATCTGTACTTCTGAAACAAATAATGCAATATATGTTAAGAAAAAAAAGAAGAAGAGAGCAGGAGGGGAAGAATGAAGGGGAGTAAGTCGGAGGGGGAGACGAACCATTAGAGACGATGGACTCTGAAAAACAAACTGAGGGTTCTAGAGGGGAGGGGGGTCGGGGGATGGGTTAGCCTGGTGATGGGTATTAAAGAGGGCACATTCTGTGTGGAGCACTGGGTGTTATGCACAAACAATGAATCATGGAACACTGCATCAAAAACTAATGATGTAATGTATGGTGGTTAACAATAAAAAAATTATTAAAAAAAAAAAAAAATAAGGCAAAACACTTATCCTTTGCTCCCTGATTCACTCTAAATGGGAAAGAAAAAGTTCTTACCTAATTTATCCTGCGTAAGTGAAGCTTTCTATCTGAATAATCCTACCAGTTGCCAGGGCATCATACTTGCTAGACAGAGACTGGTGTTTTAGAAATGCAGCTTTCAAGAAACTCATCTGTGAGGCACCTGTGGAGGTTCCTCTGCCATCATTCATTTCCTACCCTCTGCATCTGAATTGTGTGCTCTACTTGTTTCTAGTTAAAGAAAATGATTTTACATGTAACATCTTTAGGAGGATGTCAGACTGGTGAAGTCCTTGGAAATTAAAACCATAGACTTTTCCTCACGATCCCACACAAGCTTCCCCCAGGAGTTCACAGAACAAACGAAAGGAGCAAATGAAAAATAAGAGTTCTTCACTCACGCAGTAGAATGCTCAATGGACATTTCAGTTTTTGCAAATAATGAGCTACTCCACCCGGAGACATCCAGAAGCCAAAGACATTTCTCAGAAGCGACTTCGATTCAGAAATTACAAATATAAGCATGAAATGTTAAGATGGGGGGAAAAGATTCAGTGTCTCCCAGTGACACATGAAGAGCTACTTGAGTAACCAGAAGTACGTGTTTTATCATTTTGAGCATATTGCTGGCCAATAACAAGTCACTCTTTTTTTTTTTTAAAGATTTTATTTATTTGAGAGAGAGAGAATGAGAGATAGAGAGCACAAGAGGGAAGATGGTCAGAGGGAGAAGCAGACTCCCTGCTGAGCAAGGAGCCCGATGTGGGACTCGATCCCCGGGACTCCAGGATCATGACCTGAGCCAAAGGCAGTCGCTTAACCAACTGAGCCACCCAGGGGCCCAACAAGTCACTCTTTAATGGGACAGAAGCAAACATTTATTAAGGACTGTGCTATTGTCCTTGTCTGGCTCTTCCTTTCTCTTCCAAATTCTGTCCCGGGGGTGGAGCCCCTGCAGACCGATGCACCCCAGGCCGGGCACCCCAGGCCAGCCACCCATGGGCGGGGTCTGACCACTAGGGGGAACAGACAAGAGACAGAAGGGCTGTAGGGTGGAGAGGAGAAGGGCTGAGGTTCTCTTTCTGTTTCCCACCTGCATCCCAGCAGGGACCGGATTCAGCCCTCGCTGGGCGATGGCAACAGGACATCCTCACCTCTCCCCTTCCGCATCCAGGTTCTGGTACCTGACCATCCCCTGAATGCTGCCCACATGCCTCTAAGTAGCTCATTAAAGTTTCTTCACTGCAACCCACTGAGTTAAATTCTGTTGTCCGCTGGGACCCTGTCTGAATGAAGGACCTTTCAGATGTAGGGCATTTCAGATCTACACAAAATTTCTCAACTCCAAAATGTAGATCTGATTTTACTCATGAGGACACTGGGGCTCTTCGAGGCTGAATACCAGCCGGCGGGTCACAAAAGAACTTTGCTGGCAGAGCAGATCCAGTCTGACCTCCAAGACCTTAAAAAGGCTTTGAAAGTGTGAGGGAGAAAAACACATCAAGCTTCCAAATTCCCAAGCCACAATTTAGCCTCAAACCACATTATTTATGGTTTGGGATTTTCCCCTGGCCTTAAATGAGCAAGCTGGGGCATTGCCCTATACACGCTTCTCCCACCAGGAGCCACTCAGAACGTGAGCCTGCTGGAGGGTGCTGGGGCCATCGGAAGATCTAAGAGATCACAAGGGCTCCTTCCTTGCCCATCACCCACATTTCTCCTTCAGTTTATCCCAGAAATCCCTTTCTCCCAGCCTTCCACATCCTTAAGGCTCTTTTATTCTTTTTTTTATAAATTAAAAACAAGGGTCCTTCGACAGAAATCCAGGAGACTGGGTATGGGGTGGATGCAGTTAAAAAGCACTTAAGAACATCATACAAGCACCTCCCAGTTGTAACTTGTCGGGGGTCCCCTAACTATCCCTTTCCAAACAAAAAGCCTCTCTGGATTCCTCTCTCTAGCAATGCCAAATAACTTAAAACAGAAAATGCAATTAAAATAAATTCTGATGGGGGTGGGGCTGGGGCTGAAGGGATAAGTCCAAAACACACTCCTCTTAAGGAAATTCAGCTGGGAGCTGAGGTAGTTACAGAGCAAAAGAATTTGCTAGTATCTCTGCCTTTACCCAGGTCCCTGGATCTCTCCCATCCTCACTAGGAATTGAAGAGTAATTTACAGAAGCACCAGTTAGCATCTGATACCTCTCCCAATTTGTTAACTTTCTGGACTTTGCAACTGAGGAGCAGGCAACTGGCCCGGTTGAGGTCAGATCCTTGGAGGGAGCCAGGTAGAAGGGGTGGCTCAGTAAACAGTATCTGAATAAGGCAAACAGCCAGCTCTCACTTCCTCCTTGCAGAAGGAATGTGAGTGGAGAGGGCAGCGGGTATACTCCCGTTTGGGGGGGAGGGGGGGAAAGAAGAAGAAGAAGAATAAAGAAAAGAAAAAAAAAATCACTAGTAAAAAGCAAAGGAAGAAACCTGGGGCAAAACTCAGTATGAAACCAAATGAGAATGCAATGGGCCCCCCTCTGGCACTCCCCATTCCATTTAAATCAACATGTATTTATTGTATTTATTGACTCACTATGAAATACATAGCAGATCTAGTTTCCAGCACCTCAAGAGACAGGAAAATGAGTAAGACAGCCTCAACCCTCCAGCAGATTTCTTACCAAGAATTACTGTTCTTTACTGCCATTTTCTATTTTAATAGTAGCAGACAATTCCTGGACAGTCCAACTAACTTCCACACACAGTGCCTCTCTCCTCCCACTAACCGAACTCACTCAGGAGCCTGGGACCTCAAGGATAAGCCCACTGAATAAAGTAAAGCCCCTCGGCAAACCACAGGGTCCTGGTGTAACTCCTCCCTTTCCGATGGACATAGCACATGGTACAAAACATTGCCACCCCCTGATGTGACAAATTTCACCGCCAAAGTCGAAAACCCAAGTCTCTGTTCCAAAGCTATAGGCTTCAGCCTACAGACTAATCAACCTTATCTTTTAAGTAGAGATATCTTTCCAATTTTTTTAGTATATGTGCTGCCGAAGCGAGCACAATATTAAGTAGAGATATCTAAATTAAAAATAATAAAGACTCGACGACACTGGTGGAAAAAACACTTGATTCACTTATCACAATACTTTAGAACTTGGTTACAGGAAACGAGGCAACCCAAAACCTCAAAAAGAAAAAAAAAAGGTTCATTTGAACCTGTCTTGCAGGGTATACCAATTTTTTTTCCCCACACTTAGAGAACAAAAACATAAAGTTAGAAAAAACGCCCACCTGTCGAGTGCGTGTAGCTATAAAATCTTTTGGGGAGGTGGGGGGGAGGGGGCGTTGTGGCTAAGATGTGCCCCCCGGCCCGCACGCCCGCAGGGGCTCGGGAGGACGGTCCCTGCGCCCCCCGCCCCGGCCGCGGCCAGGCCGCCCGCGGTTACCTGGTCCAGCGGGATGCCCAGGAGCTCGCTGAGCGGGTGCAGGCAGGTGGAGCCCGTGGTGCGGTAGGAGAGGCTGGACGGCGGCTCTGCTGCCATCCTGCATCTTCAGGAGGCGGCTGCCCCGGCCCCAGCCCGCGCCACCCCGCTCGCGGGCCTCCAGACCGAGTGCTCGCGGGCGGCTGCCTCAAGCACGCGCGGCCGCCTCCCTCGCTGGCACCGAGCGACCAGGCCGGGGGGCCGCGACGCGCGCAAGCTCCCGGGGCGCAAACTTGGCGTTGGCGCGGCGGCCCCGGGCGCGGTAGGAGGGCCGCGGTCGGGCGCGCTCCGCTTCCCGCTGCCCTCCTCTCGGCGCTCATTGGCTCGGCCGCCTGCGACGGCCCCGGGAGGAGGAGGGAGGGAGGAAAAGTGGGGAAGCGGAGCCCGGCCCCGAGCGCCACCCGGCCCGCCCAGCCCGGCCTGAACCCCGGCCGACCGGGAGAGGGAAAGCGACGCCAGCGGGCGCCGTCGCCTCGCCCTGCGGCTGCTGGCGGACAGCCCCGGGGGCGGGAGGCGCCCGTCCCCTTCCTCCTTCCGAGCCCGCGGGCCTGCCTCCCCCGCCCCGCGAAGCCACCTCCACCCCGGCCACCCGGGGGGGCGCCTTTCCCTAGGGAGCCCCCGGGGCCCCACCCTGTTTTGGTCTCGCTGCAGTCCCGGCTCCCCCCTTCCCTGTCCCCGCGCCCGCTAGCATTTCCTGCGCTCTCCTTTCGAGGTTTCTCCCTCGCAGTCCTTGCTGCGGAGGGTTAATCTGCCAGAGGCTGGAAGCCCAAGGAGCCCCCCACCCAGACTCCCTCTCTTCACGTTCCTCAGAGCAAGACATGGTTTCCTACGTTCTGATCTGTGTCACACCAGCAAATGCAGAGGACTGCTAGCCTCTGATCATTTCCTCCCAACCCTTTGGATTGAGAATTATTTTACCTCTGGAAGAAACGGTGTTTCTATTATGCGTGCATTCTGATACATTTTTTCGTGCATAGGTTCTCAAAAGGGAGACACTTCCTCTCTGTTCCCAGACGGAGATAAATGTATCACTGGCGCTTGGGAAAACTGTTTCGGTTGATTAAGGGGTTTGGAGAATCATGAAAGTCTTAAAGATTCTTCCCAGGAATTGCTGTGTGCCCGCTGATAAAGCTTTCAGGAAAGCGGGGCTCTGAGCTGATGGGTAGAAAACCAGGGAAAAGGGAGCTGATGTGGCCCAAAGATTTTACATCAGCAATTTACCTGGGAGCTGTTATTGAGCCAAGGAGACTCCGAACAGGTGGGCAGTGATGTTCAGGCAGACCTTCTATTGTTACCCATGTGGCCTCCAGCTTCAGATCCAACTGCAGGCCTGCCAGACACTAGTAAAACTTCCCCTCCACAGCTCAGCCCTGTCTTGCCTTCTGGAGGAGCTCATCACCAACCAGCTTGTCAGGCCTGAATTTTTCAACCTATGTTCCCCCACTGAGGGGGGAAAAAAAGTGTCCCTACCCCCATTCCCTGTCCCCATGGAGATGGGGAGGCCACCAAGAGCAGATGACAATCTCTGCTCTACTCTCACCACACCCACATTCACACTGACACAGGTGTATGATTGCCCATCAACTAGGCTAGACAGGCTCATTAGATATCACACAGTTCTGGAAACTGACCAGAACGGAAGCACCCTGAGCAGGATGACAGCTGAAGTGAGGTGTCTGAGGGCAGAAGGGGCTTGAAAGCACTGTTTAAAAAAAAAAAAAATCCGGGCGCCTAAGTGGCGCAGTGGGTTAAGCGTGGGACTCTTGGTTTTGGCTCAGGTCCTGATCTCAAGGTTGTGACCTCGAGGTGGTGAGATGGAGCCTCACATCCAGCTCCACACTCAGTGCTGAGTCTGCTTGGGACTTTCTCTCCCTCTCCCTTTCCCTCTGCCCCTCCCCTCCACGCTTAGGCGCGTGCTCTCTCTCTCTCTCTGTCTCTCAAATAAATAAATAAATCTTAAAAAAAAAAAATCAGCACTTAGACATGAACTCCCAGAAAGGAAAAGTAGGTCAGTTTGGGTAGTATTTATGAAGGAAGTACTCAGACCACTCGTAATCTTCTACAAACAGATCTCTGCTCTTCAGACTCCCCAAAATGGTCTTCACATTGACACAGATGTGAAGAGAGTAGCCCTCTACAGATGTTCTTCTGCTCAACAAAACAGGCTCTAATCTAGTTTAAAATTTTCCCTTAAAAATGCTGTAACTATGCTTAGATCTTGAAAACAAAATGTCACAGAACTTAAATCTTACTAGTTCTGATACTGTGGTACAGTTAATGCTAAAAGAACTATGTGATGTTGCAATATCAAGCAAACAGAGCAGTTCTATTACAGATTAATTAGACAGGCTTCTGAAGGATGGACTACGATTCTAAGACATACAAGAGCTCCACCATGGACACATCACTCTCTTTCCCTTCCCATTTATCTCTGTTCACATCCTTTGTCAACGATAGATTCATCATAATGATTATCATATATTAGCTATAACTATACAAAAATTGTTTCAATAGCCCATGTTATTACAATCTCTATTTTACAGATGAGAAAACTAGAGTTTACAAAGTTAAGTATCATGGTTGGTTTAGGGAGGCTAAGCAAAAACATGTCTGATTCCAGAGCCTGGGCGCTCAGTCCTTACGCCACATTGCCTCCTCGGAAACCAGGCATTTCTCTACCAGGAGGCCCACCCACACATGTGACGCACTTATCATCCCCGTGGACAGGAATTACATTTACTGTTCAAAAATGAGGTGGCAGGGGTGTTGTCTGTTTTTCAGTTTTGGGGGTTTTTTGTTTTCTTTTTAAGTAAGCTCCACACCCAGCATGGGAGCCAAATGCGGTCTTGAACTCACGACCCTGAGATCAAGACCTGAGCTGAGATCGGGAATCAGATGTTTAACCAACTGGGCCAGCCAGGCGCCCCTGTCTTCCCTGTTTTCTATCTGCAGTAGAACAAGTCTTGATATCAAGAGCAGTCATTTAATCTCCCGTACAGAACCGTGCTCAGATCGTGAACTCATCCAGAAGACCCAGTGCTCATCCTGATGACTGGTTTAAAATTAAAAGCCAGACAAAAAGATATGGAAAAAATTCTGGTATGTTTCAGGGAAGGCAGCATGATACTCTGGACTGATAAAAATTCAAGACCCGTCACATGCATGGCCAGAACCAGCCAAAGATAAGCAGACAACAAAACTGAGTTAAAACAGTCCTCAAAGCTTACAAAAGTATAACTTAGTCCCTCGAGAAGATAAAATTCTAATAATCCATTCAGACGAGACTCAACCGAAGATAATCACCGACCAAACCACATTAACACCATCTACAGTGATTTAACCCATGTAATAATAAGATTACCATCTTAATGCTATATAATATTCACAAAGCGTATTCATTTGTATCATCCTCTCTGATCCTCCTGAAAAGTTTATGAAGTTGGAAGGGCAGGAAATATTATCATTTTTAATATTATGTCACCATCAACCTCTCCATTTTTATCCATAATACTAATTTCTAGTAATTTGCAGGTGGCATGCAGATCTAATGAACAGCGAAAGGAGGATTCAAACCTGGGTATTCCATTGTTGTTTTTAATCATACAGAAATCTTTTTATTATACAAGGAGTCCACCTTCAGGAAAACAGCAGAAATTGTTGCCTGCATAGGACATTAAACTCCACACTTCACATTTGAAAGCTAATCTGAAGAATGGTCTAAATTGACCCACGATGGGTATCGCTCTTGCTTTGTGAGCAGATTCTTTAAGCATCACCCACAAAACCTTAGGGAATTTAGATTTTGCAATGAGTGCTCCATTTTCTTCACATTCTAGCTCAACCTGTCCATGCTTGGAAGGTACTTTGCCACCTACCTGCCTAGCATACTTTCCAAGCTTGAGATCACAGTTAAGCATTGTTTTATATGTGTACATGTTCAGAAAATGAAGAAATTAATATAACTGAGCATCTATCAAATTTAGCTATTACTGTTAAGTATTAGCATTTTTCCCTAAGGATACTGTACAATTTAGTCGTTCAAGATAAATCAACACATCTCATCTCATTGTGCTAACCTATGTATACATCAAGGAAATGCTTTTATGTCTAAAGACAAAAGAAACCAAAATAATATCCCAACCTCTGAAAGAAACCATTTATAAGAAATACAAAGCAGAAATTAATCACTGATAATGGAATGCAGAAATAAATCCTGCTAACAAAACTCCATTAACTAAAAATACTCAGAACGATATTTATAACTATGATTTTATACAACTTCTTAATGTCAGGACTGGAGCCTAAAACCTAGAAGAGGAACAGATTAATTAACAAATTAATTAACTCTGCTTAGCTGAAGGTTCCCCTTTATGAGCTGACATTTTATTTTTAATTTTAATCTTTTGGGAATGAGAGCTTCCCAAAATGCGTCCCCACATACTTAAATGGAGTTAGTGATCACAACTGAATTTTTATCAGTGCGTCAGGCATTATGGTGAATAAGAACTCATCCTGCAATAACAGCTACGTCTTGGAGTCCACTGATGCATCAAGAGTTTGTCCTTGCCCTAAAATTATGCCCCAAAGAGGAGAACTTTCTCAATTTCTGTGTCTACTTTCTAGTTTTTCAGTCTCCTGCTCTCATATTTCAGTTGTTGCTGCCTTGCCTGCCATTTTGGGTCTCCCATGATCTGGGCAACTCCATAGATTGCCTTCACTAGGCTTTGGCTTAGTGCCTAGGGAGTTTGGGAAGTGAAGTATTTCAATCTTAAGTAAACTCCATACTGTCTATCTTGGATATTCAGAGGACTCCCCCCGCCCTTACTTCCTGCTTCTTTGGCTGTGTTCCAAATACTCTCTCTTGCCAAGGAAGTGTTCTATGAATAATAAAGTATGATCGAAGATAATACTTGAGAATATAGAGATAGGCAGAGACCTATCTGCTTATGCTGCCAGGATTCTCTGGTTGGCTGCAGTTAAAAAAAAAAAAAAAAGAGCAAGGTGGGGCCTTGCCTGATGGCCCTGGAGTCTTTGGGTGTGCTGACATGCTCAGCTCCCACTCTCTCTGCAGCACCCCCAGCCTCACTGTGGGTGTGGCTGCTGAAGGTTTCTGAAACCTTCATCATAGGTTTCAGAAAACTCCATAAAATTAACTCTAAAGCCCAGTCTTTGTATTCATCGTGGAGACCACTTGGAATCTCTCTCAGCTCTTGGATTTTTCACCCTCCTCTT